TCCTGTTGATGAGACATTGGCAGCGGCGGCATTGGCTTGCTTGGTCGCACGCTCATATCCCAAAGATTGCACCGCGTCAAGCTTCGACTGCTCCCACTTGTCACGTTTGAGCGTCTCAGCGTCACTCAGCGCTCGGTGGGCCTTGTTACAACCATATGCCGGCCCTCGACAATTCTTGGGATCTCGGGAATACGCGTAACATGGGATATTGCCCTCTTTTCCGCGCGATTGATTGGATTGACTCCTGTTTTTTTCTGTTGCGCTCCTTTTCCGCGTCCGCCCGTCGGGGTCGGGGATCGACCCTGACCTTTTCGGCTTCTGTCCTTAGATCTCCCTCTGGTACCCTTATCCTGGGCAGGTGCGGCGCTGGTTTTCTTTCCCGTACTCGGCTGAGCCGGTGCGGCATTCCTGGGCTTCCTATGATTAAAGGGGCAGCCTTTCCCGGCTTATGGGCAGGTTTCACCCCTGCGCACGTGCTTGCACGTCGTCTCGCCCTTAGTCAATCCGCTTGTCATGACGTCAGTGGATTTCCCCAGCATAGCTGCCATTTCTGCCGGAGCGGCTTTACCGCCAGTATTCCTTCGGTTGTCATTACCCCCACCTCCGCCTAACCGTGCCTGTCTAGAACGATGGTTCAGAGTACCCTCATGCGCGCTGATGTTCCATTCTTCTTTTTCTCGCAACATAATTTCCTCGATCTGCTCCACCAGCCATTCATAGCTCTTCGCGCCATGTCCCATTTTGTCTCTTGACATGTCGTAAAAATTTGCATGCGAGGTCAAGCTTGCTCGGCTTTCTGCATTGCTCGAGGCAGCGCGCATAAATGGAGGCCCTCATCTCATCAGACGGAGGTCGGGCGCCGTAGAACTGTTGGTATACGTCTGTCCATTCATTATAGAAAGGATACAGGTCAGCATCTGGCTTGTAGGGGTCAATAACTACCTTGAAGATAGCACGCGAAATTCGATATTGACCCAACTCTGATCGGACAGAGCACCAATGGCAAATTGCTCGTGCCATCTCGCGCCCAGTTAAGAGCCATCCCTCATTCTGGGCGCTGTACTCCATCCGCTGGATCTGTTGGAAGGAATGGATATGATGACCAGTCTGAATACGATTTCTTCGCATCTGGTTGAATTTTTCGATCAGGTTTGCAGCAATCATGAGGTCAAGCCGCTGAAAGCGCCATGCACCTTTTAGCTGCTCATCGTCCACGGCTGGGTCCATAGCTTCCGCGATCCAGCGATGCGCTGCCTGACTCTCAGGCGACGATCCGGCGATCGCCCGGACCGCATGCATTTGCCACTCCCTTATGTTAGCAACAGTGGGAATATCCAGTCTGTCGATTTTCTGGTTGTTGCCAACCTGTCTCCATTGATCTAACGGCGTACCTTCACCAATGACAACTGGATCCTGCGGCCCGCGAGGGCCTTGAGGTCCTCCGCGGCTGCCTCCGCAATCCGAAAGATCTGAACCCCCTGGGCTTCCTGGAGGCGACTTGTGTGGTCGTTTGCCACGATCGTCGTCGCGCATCGACGTGTTCTCGGAATTCGGAGCGTCACTCTTGTCATCCCCATTTCCGTCCTGCCCCTCAGCGCCCGACGACTTAGTTGCCGTCAGTCCGGCAGAGCCATCCTTTGCGGATGGGCGGTAATTGGCGAGTGTGTTGTCGCCACTAGAACCCGTCAATTAAACGTTGATTGCACATCCATTCTCCGGGATTCTCGGCTTAGCCGGACCCTCTAGGGCAGGACCTGGGACAGTGAAATTATCGCGCAACAACGGTGTTACAGGAGTGTCTCGAGACAGTAACGGCAAATCAAATGAGCTCAGAGTGAGCCCTTTACTTCGTTTCTGTTCGGCATACGGAGTTGGGTCCGTGATGATGGCTTTGAGCCTCATCGTTCCTTTTTCTGTCTCAGCTGCGTTCGTCATGGCCTCTTTTTCTCGCATGTTGGCAGCCGGCCTTTCACTCTTCCATAAATCACATTTGGAACATCTTGCAGTGCTCGCACCGAAATGATCTTCACAAGCCGACCGGCCACAGCCGACGCAAATACCTGTTTTCGGGCGAAAGCAAGCCGAGCAAGACCAAGCCACAATGGATCTCACTGCTAGTGTTTTCTCCCCGCTCCTCGGGAAGAGAATGCGCCCCCTCTCTTACCAGCGCGGTTGACGCTCCCGCATTTGCTGTGTTCGCCAAATCAGACTGTGGTAGAACGGACACGGCGCCAGACGACTGAGCCGCCGACACTTGATGCGCGTTCGCCCCAGTCGGCTTGGCCGGCGGGCATTTAGCATTGCTCGGTTGCAAACGCTACAGGGAAGTTCTGGCTTCTTGAATCGATCTAAGTTCTTCCAGATATTGATTGTTCTGGTCGGCTACCTTCACAGCTACAGCTTGGGTGTTAACCGCTTCCAGCCTGGCGCTGTTAAGTTCTTCTTGTAAGGTCTGCCTTTCTCGCTCCGCCCTGGCTGTAGCGATTCGTTCTCCTTCTACTCTAGCCGCCGCAACAGCCGCAGCGACCGTTTCGGCATCGACAGACTGAGCAGTAGCCGCCGCAACGGCCTGCCGTTCAGAAGCCAGCATCTCGCGA